GATCACATTAATTTCTCTAATATTTTGGAGCCATCATCATTTAATCAAAGATGAATATTTATTGTATTTCTGTTCTCCACAGTTCTCCTACCAGCCTTAATCTTGGATTTTCACTGATTAGTACTTCAAGCTTGCCTGTCTTAGCTCATGTAGCTCCTTCTGTACCGGGATAAAAACTTGTACCACCCTTTTAAAGGCCATCATTACTCTATCTGTGAAGAAGAGAACAGGAAGAAATTATTTGATTCAGATACTCTCAAGATTCTTAAAGGATTAGCGATCATTTCTCATTTCTACAGCACTTATGTCAGGAAGCATCCAGACAAAAGGTGAAGTGTAAATATTCTTTCCAGTAGTTTGCTTGTGTTTTAGAAACCTAATCTTCCAAATAGACATGTTTTGTCTAGAAGTTCATAATCACATTTATTTATAATTAAGAAATTTCTTTGGTTTTATTTCAGTAAAAAAAATAGTGTAAGTAGCTTAGAAAAGACTGTTTTTCACAACAGCTATCTTCTAAAATAAGAATTCTGAAATAATTTCCCACTTAGTTCATTTCGTGAGAATTACAGGGCCATTATATTCACATTTTAATACTATGAGTGTGTATATATATTGGTGTATGTATAAACATATACTAAGCCATGTTTCTGATTGAATAATATATGTTTATATATTGTTACAAGAATATTTTTACTTCATGGACTTTTTTAGAGCTGAATCATTTCCTTTTTATCAAAAAGGATAGCTAACAACTGAGAACAAGGCAAAAAGCTTTTCCCATTCTAAAAATAATCTATTCAAGAGTTATTTCTACCCCACCCAACTGCCTAAACTAAGAAACAAGTCTAAGAGCTTAGAGATATTGTTAATGCTTTAATTTCTATTTAGAAAAGACTATCATAACTTTAATGTAATCTTGTTATTGCACAGGAGATAATTATTCTGTAAACTTCATTTTGATTCATTAATTTAAGATTTTTAGGTTTGCTCTTTCAGTTTTTGATGCTATTTTTATTTTCACAGTCTTAGTATCCTCAATACTTAGTATCTTTCATAATTAAACTTATTTACTAGCAATGATAAATAAAAGAAACAAATACTTCATTTCAAATATCTAAGTTTATCATCACCTTACTGTCCATCTTTAGAAATATCCCAAAAGTATCACATTGCTTTAAAAGAATTCAATAAGTACATATCAAATTTATTTTATGCAAATAGTTTTTTAGTTGAAACTCTTTATATCCTCGTTGAATTTATAACCATATAGTATTTCTCTTACAAATGAAAAATTTACTGTTTTATTACCTAAAAACATAGACACAAACTTTACAAGTAAAGATCTTATAATTTGTACCACCTAGTCAGCTAAAAGAATGTGTCATAATAAATGCCCAGATTTTCTCAAAATCCAAAATATCAAATACTGCATTACGACATGGAAATCAAGATTCTAGATAATTTCTTTACAAATGTGCCTAATTTTCTTTATCAAGACTGGTTTATACCTGTCACTTTTTCTTCTCTTTCAGAAATATGATTAATGAGGTTGAAATAAGTATGGCAATTTGAGTGTCTAACGCAGTGCTGTCCTGACAGAACTTTCTATGATGAAGCAATGTTCTGTTGTGCTAAGTTGGTAGCCATTAGCCACACATAGTTATTGAACACCTGAAATGTGATACAGCAACTGAAGAACTGAATTAGTAATTTTACTTAATTTTACTTAATTTTAATTTACATTGGGGTATGTGATTAGTGGCTACTGTACTGAACAGTGAATGTCTAAGTTATTGGAATTCTTGAATATTTTCATTTACAAATAGTTTTGAAATGAAGAAAACTGGTTTCTTTAACAAAAGATTAGATTGGTAGACCAGAGCTTAATAAGAATGATTGTTGTCCTAATATGAGCCTTTTTTTACCACCATAAAAAACTAATAAAGTCCTGTTTGTCACATGGCACAGTATATCATTTCTTAAATGTATACAACCCAAGTAAAACACTGGTACAGACTGTCCTAAAAAAGATAACCAAGCAATCATTCATTTTATATATATGTAAATTAAAGAAGTAAATGATCCATTTATATTCTTTATAAGCAAAGAAATAAAAATTATAGTGTGGAAAGAGAAAGACTGCTATAGGAATTTCATAGTAAAGTTTTTCTTCAAATTGGTTAGGGAAAAGTCTGTGGAAAGAATGAAACTTCAAGTGCTGAAAAAGTGAGAATTAGAAATAATTCAAAAAGAGATATTCCAGGCATAATGTGAATCCTGAAAAGATAAACCAAGATAGATATATGTTTAGGCGACAAATTGCATTTTCCTGAGAAGACAATGGATTTATCTGACTAGTAGAAAAAGGAGGAAATAATGAGAACTTTAGAAAGGAATGAGTCATTATTCTATTTGTATTTCTGTCTTTAGATGACGCTTACAAGTATATATTTGAAAATTAAAAGGACTTTTAAACCTGGTTGTTTTGAAGTCTCTCAGAGCTGTAGAGATGTATTCAGATAAATGCTTTTCCATGAGTGCTACTCTGATCCAGGCTCTACCCTAAAAGAAAGAATCAAATAAGAGAAAAAAAAAACACACAAGTTAAAGCTTATTTTGTTCACTGCATCATCAAAAATGTAAGCATATTACTATGTAAAGAACTTTTTCAGCATATACATTTGATAAAAACAAGTAAATAAGAATAGATAGATTTTGATTATGTATAGTACATATTTTGTTTCTCTGAAGGTGTAGGGTTAAGCATGTCAGATTAACTTTTTAAAGAAACAGAACCATTAATATTGATTTAGTTGAGTTAAAGATATCTTTTGAATCATATAATGTAATCAGAAGACATAATGCTCTACTTACATGCCCAAATCAACATGCTAATAAAATGAGTCCCCTTATAAAACACGAGGAAAAAAGCCCATTCTTCTTAATAAAAATAATCACTCTCACACCACTTGTTTAAGAAAATTTCTCACTTATCCTTCCTGAGGGAGGTTTTAGACAACTAATAATAAACCAAATTTCATTATTTAGCATGCATCCAAATCACAAGTTACTGAATTTGGTGCCACCAGAGAATTCTGAAAAACTATTACCAAATATTTAAACAAGAAAAAACAGACAACAAAAATATATTAGAAGCACATTCCAGCACAAAAATCACAGAAACAGACAATTCTGACTAAATGTGAATAATTTAATTTTACTTAGAAAAGGGGTAACATCATTCAATAGTTGGAAGTAACCAATTAAAATTTTTATAATCCAAAGCATTTCTTCTGGACTGTTTAGAATGAAAGACTATAAGAGATTATATTTGTAGTGAGAATTTTAAAGTTCAATTACTTTCATTTTCCCTCAACCCTTTCACAAATCTTCAGAAACTTCATGACTATATAGAAAATCAAAACACTGCAACGGCAGTTGAGAGTAAAGGTGACACTAATCAATATATTCGATGCTCGACTACCAGTATGGAGGAAAAGAGCATTCTTTAGAAATGACTACAACTCTAGTGAATTCCCCGAACTCTTGGATTGAAAGGATCAAAAAAGAGTAATAAATCTAGACAGTGGCAAAACCTATCAGAATAGAAGCCTCAGTATTGTTGAGAAATAAAGGAATGATATGCGTGTGGTTAACATGCCAGCCAATTTGCCCACTAAGCTCAAAATCCCTTTTAGCTTGCCCTGGGTTCCTCACTCCCTTGTTCTTGCTGAGTAAGCCTAGGAGAACCTACAATTAACTGTGGCTGATTGGAACAGAAGACGGAAGAGGCAAGCCACTGGCCAGAAGTCTCAAGATTCCCTCTTGAAATTTCATCTAAAAAGACACAGAGGCTAGTGATGGTGGCCTGAATCAAAAGGTCAAGATTTCACCAAAACAGAAGCAGGGAAAGTTGCTTTCCAGAGGATGTGAGACACAGGACACTATGCTATTGCTAGATAAGAAATATGGGGAAAGTCCTGCTTCCTGATTTATTAATTTCAAACCACACAGAACTGGACTGCACCTACTTTCCTGTCCTTGGATGTTTATGGGGTTCTCTGTTATATTTTGATAATAAACTGTGATGATTTTAAGTGTCTTTTCTTTCAACAAAAAAAACTTTTACTAATACAGAAGATAAATACTTATAAAGGTTTTGGGACCATGAAGTGAGAAAGCTGAAAACTAATTTTAACATTTTAGACTTTATCAGTTAGATAACGGTGAGCCACTGAAAGTTTTTTTTTTTCCAGAGACAAAAATATTAATTTGTTTGCCACTGAAGGTTTTCTAAAAATATTAAAAGTAGTCAACACTTCTTTAATTAGTATATGATTGGCTCTGTTTAAGAGCTTTATATATACATTAAGATATTTAATCCTCCCAAGACTTGTGTGAGTTAGTTTACAATACTATCCCTATTTGACTATAAGGAAACAAAAAATAGACACAACTAGAAGACAGAAAACTCATCTCACAACCACCAAACTGACCAACCTGATTGAATTAATATCCATACATTCTATTCTCCCTCTTATTTCAGGGGATGAACTGTAATCCTTTAAGAGAGTGAAAAGGTGAATCACAGAGTGGGCAAAGATATTTGCATTATACGTATTTGACAAAAAGGCTCTCATTTATAAAATACAAAGAATTCTTACAAATCCATAAGAAAAAGACAAATAAATTTACAAATGGGCCTGGAAGGGGAATATTTTTAACCACAGGTTCAATTCTTTAGCAGATATCATCCTTTTTGTGTTAGTTTTGTGAGTGATGATTTTCACAGAATTTGCCATATCATTTAAATTTTCAAATTTATAGGGGTAAAGTTATTCATAATATCCTCTTTTAGGGTTTTTAATGTCTGTAGGGTCTTCTTCAATGAGGTTGGCTTCTTCTGCATTCCTGACACTGGTAATGTATAATCTGTCTTGTTTTCTTCTTAAATAGTCTTACCAGAAGCTTATTAATGGTATTAATCTTTAAAAAAAAAACTTTTGGTTTTGTTGATTTTCTTCTAGTGCACATTTGTTTCAATTTATTTGAATTTTTGTTCTTCAATATTTCTTTCCTTCTAATTTGGGTTTATTACTTTTTTAAAAAACATACACATTCTTGAAAGTTTTGATCACTGATTGATTCTCGGGCTTTATTCTTTAAAAAAAATACATAAAAGCATATTTAAGCCTATTTTCCACTAAGCACAAGTTTTTATGTATTGTATTTTCATTATCACTTTCCAAATATTTGTTTATTTCAATAATTTATTCTTTCATTCATGAGTTACTTAGAAGTCCTTCTCAATTTTGCCACATAAGCATTTTCTAGTTACTTTTTTGTTATTGAGTCTAGCTTAATTCTACTGTGGTTAGAGAACATAGTTTATGTGATTTCAATTCTCTGAAATTCATTGAGATGAAGTATAACTCAGGAAATGATCCATTTTTGTATAAGTTCTGTGTGTGTTTGGTAAAAATAAATACTCTATAGTTTTCTATTTTTATTTTTTTATAATATCCCAGGTCTCTATTATTATTAATCTTTATTTGTATTTACTTGAACCTATTATAATTACTTAAATTTCCATTATCTGCATCTCCCATATGTCTGTTTCAATTGTCTGTTTTATATTTCTTAGTTTTGGTCATTTGATCTTGTTTCCTGATATACCTGGTGATTTTTTATTGAATACTAGACACTGTGTATCAAAATTTGGAGCCGCTCTAATGCTACCTTTCTCTAGGGTTGATTTAGTTTTCTTCTGGTAGGCAGACAGTGAACTTGAAAGTAACCTTGCACCATTTAAGGGCACCATTTTTAAACATTTTTGGGGCTGGTCTTCACATGAATTTCCCTTACTCCCAAGGCATAGGCTTTCTGGGGTCTCAAATAAAAGCCTGGAGTGTTTAGAGGGCACCTCGAACTCAGTGACCTTGAACTCCAGGTGGACTCTCCAGAACAAGACTGAAATCTTCGAACAGCTTTTTTAGCCTCCTACCTGCTGCTTTCAGCTTGGTTTATAAAACTTTTGCTCTATGCTTCAGATGACTAAGTTGGCAAACACCTTACAGGAAAACTGCACATAACTTCAGGCACATTTGTCTGCAGTTCTCTCCCCACGATTAATTCCTGGTTTCACTGGCAATTCAAACTCCAACTTCTGTTTCGTGAGCCCAGGGAAACTAAAACAACCATTCCCCTACCCACAGCACTCTGCTTAGCCTCTACACCTGTGAACAGATAAATGCCCTTAGGGTAAAAGCGAAGAGGAATATAGGGCTCACTGATATACCACCCCTTCTGTCCAGGATTGTGGCCACTCAAGCTCTCATGCTTTGGTTGTACTCTGTCTTTAATTGGTTTCTCTGTGCATTTTATCCAATCTTTACTATTCTTGGCAGAAGAGTTCCTCTAATACAAGAGTTCCTCTGATAACTATTCTGTTATCACTGGAAGCAGAAACTGATTCATTTCTTACCTCCAGAATCATCTCTTTTTAGACTCCAATTATACCCTTTTCTAACTTCACTCTCTGCTCCCACCTTTCTATGCATCCTCTATACTGAACCCAGCTATTCATTTGACAATGTAAATCAGATTACAGTATTCCATTGCTTTAAAAAAATAAAAAGTAAAAAAGAAACCCTCAAGTAGCTCCCCACTGCATTGAGAATGATATCAAACTCTTACTGATGACCATATCTTGCTTCCTCTTAATATTTGCACAGCACATTTCTTCCCACAATTCATATCCTGACTCAAATGTTATTGCCTCACAGACTCCTTCCCTAACCACTCTATCTAAAAGAATGTGCTGTCTTCCACCACTCCTATCACTTTCTAACCTCTTAACCAGTTCCATTTTTTCCCCATGGCCCCTGAGATATTATGTATATATTTATTTGTTTGTTTGTTGCATTACTAAAATGCAATGTATATAACATTTGCTCTTTGCCATCTTTTCAACACTGCCATTGTATCCTCGATATTTATAAGTTTCTGGCATACAGCAGGCACTCAAATATATACTTGTTGAATAAGTGGACAGAACTGAAGAAGATAAATAATTTGCTCATAGTTATCAGGCACTGGAGCTACCAGGAGGAGGTGGAGAAAATAAATGATATGTGAAATATAGTATTTTAGAAAGATTTAAATATAGTATTTTATAATAATTTATATGAAGTTATTAGTACTTAAAATGGATAGAATGTAAAACAAATGGGCATATCTCTGGTTTCTGCCTGGGAAACTTTCTTTATTTTTAAATTTTCCCCAGTATTTCTGACATTCTTCCAGGTTTAGGGCCATCACAATAAAGAACTAAGAATAGAAAACATCAAGTATTTAAAAAAAAGATAGATTTGTGAGTAATAGAAAATGATCGTAAAAAAGGCCTCTTTGTGGGCCGGCCAAGGGGCACGTTGGTTAGGAGTTGGCTTGGGATGCCAGCTCTGAGCAGCAGGGCCCTGGTTTGGATCCCACATGAGGGCCACTGATGCTGCGCCCTCTATAGCTAATATGGTGAACAACAGCTAGACCTGGAACTGGGCTAC